GGCAAAGGCACCCGCATGCGGTAATGCTTCCCACCTGGCTAGCCGATCTCTCTTCCGATTAGCTCTGATGAGGCCTCTCAGATACCGGAATAAGGCAGTGGGCTTTGTAAAAATAGAGCCATCCACACTGACCTCACCCCGCCTGATGTCGCACTCACAAGTTATACCTTCTTCGGCAAGGATCTTCTCGCCATCGGCGATCGGACTCCTTTTAGATCGATCGGCCAGTTGCCGGAATAGGAAGTGATGCGGTCGCATTGATGATGATGTTACTATATAGGCCCAAGTAGCTATGATACTCTCGCGAAGGCAATCCTCCAGAGACTCCAACCCACAGCCACCATCTTCCCCGGGTACATAGAATCGGTCCGTGGTGCTCTTCCGAAACCGGCATTTTTCTTCAGCAAGGACATCGCGGATTTTGCCGTATAAAAGCCTAGCACGATGCAGAGCCGCTACTAGTTTCGGACACCCACCGTATGTCTGCATGTAGACGTATCGCATGTAAATGGGGCTGTAGGCTTTGGTCACCTGACCCCAAGTCAAGTCACCGCCGAAGATAACTTCGGCTTTGGCTATCATTGAGGTCTCAAACCGGCCTACTGCTTCATCCGTCGCTAGCATTCTTTGTTCCACGCCTAGATATTTATAGACATCGGAAGGGCCTAACGTTGGCAGTCTAACTGCATCGGCATCGGCTGTTGCCCTAACAATTTGATCGCGAGGGGAGTAGTGGACTTCAGCACACTTTTTAATATTTATCACCATACCTGCTGCCTTGCCTATTCGCGCGACTAGGTTTAGCTGATGTCGCAGCTCCTATGGATTCCGGGCTTATAATTTCAAATGAATGTCATTTATGGTAATGGGAGCTATGCAGCATGTTGCGTAGTGGAAGCGTGCTGCTACGAGTGACGTGATGTGTACGGTACGAACCCAGAGGGGGTATCTTGAATCGTAGTTGAGCTGGCAGCGTTTAGTTCTATCAACTGTTGATGATAAATATAGCTAGTACAGCAAAGTCTGATGCGCGTGTGTCTGGCCTAGTGTAGCCAAAGACCGGGGAAAAGTGTAACGGATTGCTGCCAAGAGATCGTCTTGCGATGACTCTTCAGCGGCTTCGCAATGTCAGCGTACACCACCCGTACTGTGGGACCGTTATACACGGGGACGATGGGAGGCGCAGTAGGTCGGTGCTTCCAGCCGAACCTAGTCGAAGCTGACGATCCTGGAGGACACGTACGATCCTCGACGCCACAGTCGCTGCCAACGTGGCGTTGCACTGTTGAGGAAGAATCGAACCGGTGTCAAGTCGCAGTTGAATCGAAGACGGTGAGCCGTGTCGAGTCCGTGCAGTAGAGACGTCCGATTTACCAGGATCCCGACTGAAGGTTCCTGTGCTTTTTATACTATTTTTTTAGCGGGGAAGGGCCAGACATTTCCCCGGGATTAATGTTTGAATGAAGTCCAGTCCCCTTTGTCTGGGCAGGCAGCCATTGTCTATGTGCAGCTCTGCTGCACTGATTTATTTGTCTGTT